GGGTATCAGAATTCAATGTAGAGAAATGTACAATGAGGAAAAACTTCTGATATGTAATTGTCCAATATTATCTGATATTACCCTTCAGGACAAAGATCTTGGGCTTCTAATGGGTAAGTAGAAAATTTCTTGAAAATGTTAGCAAGGTGGAGTTATGATCAAAAAACCAAATTGCCAACATAAAGACTATCAGGAAAAGAACACAGAACAAGCCAGAAAACAACATGATGCTTCAAAAAGCAGTGAGTGAGGGAGGTAGAAGATTATGAAATTGTGAAGGCCAGGGAAAGACACTCGGGAAAGAACTTATGATCTGTTCCCATATAAGAACAAGAAAGCATCAATAAGCACTCAGAGGTGGTATGTTCAGAAAACCAAAATTAAAGCAAGTTGCTTTTCACAGAGGTATTACTATAGCTGCAGAATTTCTTGTCTCAGATAGCTATAAGCACATACACAGATTCTAAAAGCGACCTGTCCAATTAAGAGAATCAAATTTTTTGAGTCTAATTAAATGAAATATAAATAAATAATATAAGCATCCCAAAATCCCCAATGTGTTGGTTCACGAAGCCACTGTATTGGCTTATGAAACCACTGTCCTGTAACTTGTAGAATGCTTGGAGAATATTTTAGTATTAACATAGATGGCCAAGAGCTTTTCAAACTCATCTTTTGGTATCTTCTGTTAGCCATTGCCAGGAGTAAGGCACTGGGCTGAATACACTTTTTTCTCAACTCTGTCTGTCTGCTGTTATATTATATAATGTGAATAAAAGGAGATTCTTGACAAAACTTTGTCTTTTGTGCCACAATGATTTCCATGCTAGTGCTAGAATTACGAAAGTAAATCTCAAAATGAAAAATAAAAAACTGAGGAATTTCAAAGAAGGTCAAAATGCGCAACACAACAAAATGAAGCAAAAAGCTAAAGAAAAGTATTTGGAAGAACAAGCACACACACACACACACACACACACACAGACTGCTGTAGCAGTTACCAGATCTGCAAAACATGGGAGTTGGAAAATGGAGAAACTGAGAGTGACAATGCAGTGAGTCCTTTAAAAGAAATAATAAGCTCACACTGGGTTGCACAGAAACTAGTTCCCTTGACTACCGGAGACTTTTAGAATGGAAAAAACCCAGAGGTGACTGAGAGAAAGAGCAAGTGCAGAAAGAGGGGAAAACAGAGACTCCAATTAAAATGCATCGAGTTTGAAAAGATTCATGAGGACACTTTAGATGACGTTATGCAAAAGACTGGGCAACAAGCAGACTTTATTGGGCCAAAATGAATACACAGAAAGGAAAAATGGTCAGAAATCATTGCCACTGTGCAAAGTACCAGAGACAGAATCCCTGGGAGGCTATGACCATTTGTGATGCTCCCATCAGAGCTTGGCAGCAAATGGCAGTTGATGTATTTGAACATGGAGGAAACCACCGCCTGCTGATAATTGATTATTACAGTTGTTCTTTTGAAACTAACAGAAGTAAGCAACACATTAGCCAGCATCTAGTGAATCACACTGAGGTGATAGTCACCAAACACTGTATTTGCGATGAGCTCATTTCGGATAATGGGTCACCATACACATTGGAAGAAATTTGAAGGTTTGTAAAGTACTGGGGCTTCAAATGCAGCTGGTAGGTCTTATAACTGATAGTGTAATGGACTGGTCAACATCACAAATAGCCAAAAAGACATTAATGCAGACAAGATCTTCCTCGAGGTTTACTGACATGCCCCAATGGAATCAAATGCTTTACTGGCTGAGATGTTAATAAGCCGAAAACTCTACTCCTAAGTCCCATGGCATGCTCCTTCTACAGCCCAGGGCTGCAGATAACAGCCAATTAGAATAGATGGGAGCAGAGTGGGGAAGAAGAAAGCAAGCACAACATGATCACTCCAGAAACTACAACACAGTTCTGGTGTGGTTGGTGGCACGCTTGTGTGGAAACAACATTTGTGGAAAAATCCACTTTATCTGCAACACAGGTAGAAAATGGAGAGAACCAGGATTAACCTCAGATGTTAGAAGATAGCTCTGGCCATGAAACTACTCTTCTGCTCTGCAAAAAAATCTGATTCATGATCCTGAAACTGCATCTGAGAAAGCCGACAACTACAATCCCACCATGGCTTCAATGCCACCCACTGTGCAGAAAGGAGATGACTCACACCTGAACATCAACTGATACAAGTGAACTTACACTATGTCACTCAAAAAGTTCAAACCCAAAGAGCTGACATCCTAATGCTGTGAATTACACAGAAGCATTTGTAAGAGCATTTCCAGTTTTTTGTTGTTTTCATGCATCAGCAGCTAACTGGTGCAACATCATTTAGAGAAAGGCTCTTAAAATGACTCCAGGAGATTGCTTTCTGCTCACGCGATCAGCACAGGTGCTGGGTTCAGATGCTGAGAGCAAAGGGTGTTTTTGAAAGTGCAAATGAAAAAACCTGTTTAAGTTTATATGTGTGGAATGCTGTTCAAGTGAGCAGTCCAAATACAACAAAATATAGGTCAAATAAATAAAAATGAACAGTTACTTTCAAAACAGAAATTAACAGCTGTGCTGTGGAAGGGATGGGGAAGATTTGTGTTGCTAAGCTGGATCTCTTTCATCTCACAGGAGGAGAGGAAGGCCTGTGATCCTGCAGCCATGCCATGCCCCCATACAGACACTGCCTCAACTAAGAATTAAGGTAAATTAAGAGTACTGAATGTTATGAAGCAATGCATTCAGGTAGAAAGGTGATAGCAATACTTTGTATAATGGTTTACTGGAAAAACAGGTCCCTTTTAGTGCAGGAGTAGGTTCCTTTCCATGCCCTCAGCACCATCTCCGGGAGCAATCTGGCTGATAAACCATGTGGTATGTGAGCTGAATGGCTCTTTTGATTCCCCTGTCTCAGCTAAATCTCCACTGAACACACTAGAAGCTTAGGCAAGAACAGCAGATGAAGACACTCATGTAGCCACCTAAATTTAGGTATTTTAAACTGAATACCACGCTCTATGACTCTTTCTCTTCTCCTTTGTGGCTGCCCTTACTCCCTTGCCCTTATTCAGCCTAGATAAAATGAGTAAAACTGTAATTCATGTAAATTAGCAGAAATCAACTATCCATCTTATTTCTTTGTTTGCACAGTCTATTTCCAGTCCCCTTGACTCTGTCTGACTGGTAAATCTAGGGACAGTTCCTTTCTTATGCTTGCCAGATTCTAGCATAATGCGATCCACGAACCTTGTTGGATTGTATCAAATAAAATTTTATATCATATGCCACGGTCCGAAGGGAGATGGGGCTGTGACACAGCACGGATGGGTTTGGGAGACAAGGTAGGGTGCAGATGGCGGGGAAAGGGCCAGAACATAGGGTGGAGCATGAGACAGACAAACGGGGGAACAAATCGGGATAGGGGTACAGGCAAAAGAGGGAGGAACGTGGGAGGAACCAGGGAAGGAAAGGGCGAATGGAGGCTGTCTCCTCTCTGCGGCTTCTCCAGCCAATCAGCAGGGAAGCAGGGAAGTGGACAAACCTGGGCATGCCCGGGAGATACAAATTCTGGTGAAACGTACAACGTGTATATACATAATAACTGTAAAGTCTGCATCATAAAGTCCTTTCAATCGCTGTACATCTTTTTCCACTTCTGAAATTGTTCCCATTCTGATTCCTGGTCCTTCACAATCGTTGATCTTAAACTACTAGTTACATATTAGATTCTATGTGATGTCAAAGTAGAAGAACTTGGCTCTTCTTGATGTGCATGCACATAATTTCAGTGTGACATTTTCACCTGGCAAATGTCAGACTGGAAAAACGAAGCTGATCATGTATATATGTATACACACACACATATATATATATGTAAATGAAGTAATTGTGATTGTGTTTATAAAATTTCTGTTCTTCTTAATTACAAAGTAATAATCCATATTTTGCATAAACATCTGTAGTCACAATAATTTTTTGAAAACAGTATGACCAATTTATTTTAATTAACAGTAATAAGTTTTTCTGTTGCTACTATCTTTTCCTAATAACCTGTTGTTCTCAAAGCTTTTTTTAACCCTCAGGATTTTATTCAGTTCTCTATTCAAATATTGATGAAACTTAACCCTGGTTAGGTTTTGCATCTGACAAGATCATAACTCGATGTGTACTGTTATCCATTAAAAATCACTTAAGGCAATTGCTGTTACCACTGTAACATGATAAACCTGACAATAGACTGTTAGTTCAAAAGAACCCAGTAATTTCATTTATTTCCTATTTCTCAAAACATCTGCATTGACGTGAAAGAAATGTCAAGTTAAAAATAACAATTCATGGGTCATGGTATCAACTGTGATTTCATTACATTGTGTCTGTGAGCAGATGAAAGCTGCTGTGGCATTCAGACTTTAGGTGGGCTGGTAAATGAGGAAAAACCTAATCTATTTCATTTTAAGATTATCAATTATTCAAATACCTACAAAGAGTCTTCATTTTCCCCACATTCCTAAAATGAGAACCAAGGTTGATTGCACTGTGGGGGGCAGGCAAATGCTGGTGAGCTCTGTTTGCAGTTTGAGCCTACAGCATCTGCATTAACCCAGGGTGAGAGGCTGGGAGCGCATGGCTAATGTGATGCTGGGGATGGCTAGCCAGCCAGCTGGGGAAGCTGGCACATCAGTTCAATTTCAGCATCGTGCCAAGGTGCCTTCCTGCATTTGGTATGGGAACTCTGCTGCACCCCACAGAGAACCTTGCCTGTGCCTGCCTGCTCTCTACTGTGATGGTCTGCCTGGGCTTTTGGAGAACTACTGCTTAAAAGAAAGATCTTCCAGGTCCCTTCTAAACACCTTTCCCCCTATGCTGACAGTCAATTATTACAAAGTATCTATCTTATCACTTAGAAAAATTAATTTATGAATACAAAAATAGAAAGAGCTAGCAATCTGACAAAAATCCCAGCGGAGGAAAGTATGTGTAACACCTTACCCCTTCCACGTGTTTATGGCAGTTATATTGCAGCATCTATGACTGACAGGATCTTGTAGGCTCATGTTCTGGTCTGAGATACCTGTGTCAAGAAAGAAAGGGAAGATTTTTCCCTATTTCAGAACGACATTGCTTTAAACTAGCAAATCTTCAGGGCTGACCTTACTTTTAGGGAAAAAAAATTGCCTACTCCTGAGACAGACAAAGATGAAATCTAGCAGAAGAACTGATATTTCAAGACATCCCTTGCTTTAAGCTATCTCCAAGAAAAATGAAGCTTAAATCCAAGAGTGATGTAGGCACTTTAGAAACCCCTGTACAAAAAGGGATAGACACTCAGAGATATGTATGGTTATAGGTGCCCATTTCAGAATGTATCCACCTAATGACACTGCCCAGCATTTGGGAAGAATGGATCTCATGTTTAAGAATGACACAGATAATAAAAATTTAAAACATTCACAAGCAGAGAAAATCTATAGACAGAGAAGCATTTCACCAGGGTTATTTTCTTTCCTGAAAGCACCATGTCTGCAGCTAGTGGTTGAATGCATGCACAAATTAAGTTTACAGATTTCATATAGCAATTTATTCTGGTTGAATGTAATAACAGTAATTTTTCATTCAAGTCAGCAAAATACAATCCATAAAGGAAAAAGTACTGCCATTATTTTAAACTCTATTGTTCTTATTCAATTCAAATGTGAATTGAAGCTAAATAATTTACTGTGTAAATTTCATTTTTAATTTTATGCCATTCCAAAAGAAGAGAGTGAATGAGAGAGTGACGGGGAAGCTTCAAAGCTCTAAATCCTTGTATACTAATGTCTCAACAGTAAAATAATCTAAGGAGCATGCTGCAGCAAAAATGATTGCTGGGATCTATAATAGGATTGTTTTAACTCAATAGTGTTTCATAATTTTTTGATTCACTCCGAGTTTTTGACAGCTTGCCTAGTTGCAGTTTTTATCTGATCATCTTTGCATTAATAATACATTACAGTAAGTTTCATGGAAAAGTGGCCATTTTTTTCCTTACTGAATACTTTACTTTTGCCAGCAAAATATTGACTTGGGTTTATAATCAATTCCTGTTTGGCTTGATCATGCTTAGCATGAAGCTAAAATATTTGCTGCTAGACAGATGCCAATACAAATGTCATCATTGCCATATTCTAACAAATTCCTTCAGTTGCTAAATAATCTGCCTCGTAGGTTGCAATATGTATCAGACTGAAGCCCAGAGCTTCAGAGACACCAGGATATGAGTAGTTGTACTTACCTGAGGCTCCCATTCCCCTGCTTCAGAAAAACTTCCTCTCAGCAACAGCATCCATTTCCATACAGTCATCCTCTGAGTCACCTGTGGCTTGCTCACTGACTAGATTCAATCAGGGCAAAAATACTGAATAAAAGAAAATATGTCAAAAATTATTTTATTTGCCTTCCTCCGTCTTCTGAGGCATGAATGAAAATTGACTTTCAAGCAAAAAAAACCCAACCACTAGAAAAAGGACTTATTTCTCAAGAGACATTTCAGAAAAAAAATTTCAGCTAGGTGCAACTCATGTATCCTTATCTTTCTTCATAATTATAATATTTATATACAGATTAATTATGCTTGATTGGTATCAGGAAACAGAATAGTCTGAGAAATACTACTGTTTAACCTAACTCAGTTAACTTACTTCCTGAAGACTTAATTCAAACTTTCTCTTCCTTTGTATTGGCATGCCATCTCAAAAGCCCCATCCTGTTCTGGCGCATCAGTCCCTGACTCTGAGTTTCCCCTCTGCGGTAACAGAGCCAGAAGTCATGCAGTTCTCTCTTTCTACCTTCTAAGTTGAAAGCATAGCACTTGGAAAAGTCTGAGATTGGCACTGAGCCAAAGATCTGCACTGTTGGCAAGAGATTGCCACATCACCTGACCAGAGAAGACAAGCATGCACACCTCTAGAAACTCCATGATGATGATGGGTAGCATGTACTCTCTAAATAGGAGAAACCTTGATGCATCCTCAGCTACTTCCATTGTTAGTAATGGTAGTGAGAATGATCTTTTTCAAGCTCCAGGATGATGACTGCAGAGAGTGAGAACATACCTGGAGAATATAAATGTTGGAGTCTGGCTTAAACAAAGCTGTGTTGAGGTCCATCTTTCTGAAAGGCAAAACAAGCACGCACAAGAGGCACAGGAACAGAAAAAATGCTGAACACCCTACCTGATCCCCACAATACTGTCTGTCCTGCTATAGATCTCACTTGACATGTTTGAATGCTCTGATGCTTTGTAACCCTGGGGGGGATCTGCAATTGATATAATCTGTTGTTCAGTTCATGCCCAACTTAGATATTGAAAAAGAGTTAGGAAATTAAAAACAGGCATGTGTAGGCACTGCAAACTAACAGATTTTGTGGGTCAAGGCATGTCTTACAATTTCATAAAGTCACTTCTGATGTCCAGACATTATGTTATTAACTTTTACTTTCAGCGTGACCTGTTAAAAAAAAGAAAAAAGAGTTTATATTTAAACACAATTACACATTATATTTAGTGCTTAATATAGCAAATTTCTTCTCTCCTCCAGGCAACAGGCAATTACAATTGCTCTGCGAAATAAAATATATGTGAACCACTAAACTATGCAGGCCCTTTAAAGCACTGCATACCTCTATAGTGTCCCAGTAGCAGTGACACTGCAAATTGTAACATAGCAATATTGCTTTTATGACAGTAATTTTGCTAGATCTGGCCATTACAAAGGTACTTTCAGAAATATGTTTCATCTTTCTGAAATTTTAAATTCCTTTCAGAAAAGCATGTGAAATTTTGTCTCTGAAAATGTCAGGGTTGGCAGTCCTCTGACACATAAGAGAACAGTGCCCCAAGTCTCAGCGCTAGTGATCTCAGGGAATAAACTCCCTTTACAGAGTTTCATCTCACTTGGAGCAAACAAGGAAGACAAGAATGTGAGTTTGCTGCAGCTGATATCTCCTGCTTGGAAGTGACTGTCAATCAGCTTGAAAGGTAAGGAAGATGCATCTGTCTTGTTGCAAGACACAAAGAACTGAGTACGGTATGAGCCCACTAAATCAGCACGGTAAAAAGCGTCATTTGGAATTAAAGTTAGAAACAGGTGGGCACAGACCTTCTTCAATGTCTGTGATTAATCAATACATCTATAATTTATCTATATCTATTATGCTATATCTATTATGGACGTTAAACAACAGAAACAAAATTCAATTGAAATAAATAAGCCTGCACATATACATCACGGAAAAAATTGCTCTGGTATACTACAAAACAAGTGTTCATTATTTTTAATGTATGCTTTCCATTTGCAGACGTGGGCTTTCCAGTCCTCAGGCTGGGTGAAGGTGGCAGATGGATAGTGCTGCAGAGAATGCTGAACACATGTGAATGACACATGGGACTGAGTTAAAAATTACCTTTTGTCTTACCAAACAATAAAAAGATGGCAGTTTCAGATTCATTCACATAACTGCAAATCCACAACCACCACTCCATCACTGATACAGCATACAACGCTCCCCATTCCAACACAGGCAAGCATAACCTACACAGCAGCAAAGGAAGTCTGAAAGCAAGAAATGGCATCCTGATTTCCCTTTTGACAGTATAATTTGCATTTTGCAGATTTGAGAGTGTCAGTGAATTCACTGAGACAATGGATGGGAAAGAAAAAATTAAATCTCTCTCTCACTGTCATGTGCGCACAAAAGGAGAATTATCAACCCAATGCAATCAAGCACACAAAAACCAATTTTATTGTTTATACAATGAAAGTAAATAAGTTCATTCAACCCTGGCTTTCCAAACACTAATTTGCTATATTTTTTTCCAATAGGAAGGATTAGTTGGTTTTGGGTTTACTTTTCATTGAAACATCAAAAGACACATCGGTGTCCCTTTGTCTGTGAACTGCTATCATGACTTGAGCTGAGGCAGAAGGTTGGTATTCTGCATTTTCTTGCAGAGAGGTAGCCTTTTGGTTTCATCGCAGTGAAGAAAAATGACCAGAAATAGTAACTGGATGAAAAACTGTGTCAGATATTAGCTGGAAATACATAATCAGGAATCACTAATACGAACAACATCGGTAATCATTTCATCACTTTGCCAAAAAAGAAAGACACTTTCTGTTTTGAGGGTTGTTGTTATTTCCCCTGTTGAAATAATCATTCTTCCATTAACACTGGTTATGACATCGTTGGTTTGTTTATGTGATTTCCTAACACCATGGATATCTGTGATGCTTTGTCCAAGCATCCTGACACCTCATTTTCTCTGACAGCAATCATTCCCATGCCAAATGTCAGTGGAGAATGCTACAATGGAAGAAAGTGAAATTTGGTGCCTTCATAACCACCCGTCATTGTTACAGTTATTGAAGGTCAAGCAACAGGAGTACACAGGGTTTTGTATGGCTGCAGCAACACTAACAGTGAGTGGCTGATGCCCAGGAAATCGCCTTTTATTGTTTTCTTTTGTGTTACACAGACCCATGAGTTTTACTGTATGCTGACTTGACCTGTGGTGAGGTACATGTCATCTGAAAATCAATATCATGGTCTTTTCTCCTTTCTCTGTATCGCAGGTCAAACAAAAGGAAGGTGTATTTTCTTGTCTATTTTTTTGTTGTTGTTGTTTTTTGAGAAAGGGTTCATCTGAAATGATCCAGTGGGTAACAAAGAAACTCAAAAGGAAGCTGGTTCCATTAAGAGAAAAAGTATTCAGAAACATGATGAGTTTTTCTTCTATTAAATGAGGAGCTGACTCACATAAATGAGGAGGCAATCAAAACCCAGGTACACCTCATAAGAATATCACAAGTTCTCCTCTTTGGCCTGAATCAACATGGGCATTTCATTATGTCAGTGCATCTCATAGTGTTTTGTTTATAACAACGCTCTCATATCCCAAGATCCCTACTTGGCTCTAAATCACACCTCCTCCAGCTTCTGACTAAGACAGCAGTCCCTGAGCACACAGGAGCAGCAGACAGAAACCAAAGTGGTCTTGCGGCACATAATTTTGTATCTTTAGTTGCAGATATCGGCAAAGTCTCCGTTTTCTAATTGAGCCAAACTAGTTTGTCCTCTCCTAGTGCCAAGCCACTCACATGTAGGCCTTTTGTTTTCCATGTTCACTGTTTCCATGTTTTCATCAGAGGTGCTGGGAAACAGATGATTCTCTAGAAAAGCTGCAGAGGCTGTGTCCTTTTCTTCTCTGTATTTCTTGCTCAACTTCTTTGTTCTCATAGTTTCCTGCCACTGGCACCAGCAGTTCCACTTTAAATAGAGCTTTAACATAGATATTCCACCCTGTCTGCTATTCTTCCTTGGACTAACATTTGCATGGCAGATGGTGCAAATGGCCCAGCAAATATTTACTGGATCAGTGTTAGAAAAGCAAAGCAAAGCAAAACAAAACAAAAACACCCCAGCTGCCAGACTGATGACTTTCTGGCACCATATCATGTGCCACCAGTCACCAGGATGGGGAAAACACCACAGAAAGATAATTGATGTTGAGCTTGCTGGATTTTTAGGAGTATTTTTTGAATCTTGTTGTTTGGAGCACCCCCAGAAGGCAGGTACAAGGACAGGAACTTTTCCCCTTCCTTCTTGGAGTCTGTCTTTTTCTCATTCCTTAGGTGAAAAAAAGTATTATGTCAAATTAACATATTTCCCTTTCAAATAAAAAACAGTCATATCTGGTATCAGAATTGTATTAATTACAGATAATAGACTGAGCTCCTTGCAAATGGAGTCTGCTGAAACTCCATTTCAGCAAAGTCTGGGACAAATATCTTACAGATTTAAATAGTGATAGAAGGAGGGGAACGTGATCAATGTTAAGAATGACCTATGGCTTTTGGAGGCACTGACTTGCTAAGGCATATTGCAGGAAGAACAGAACAGTGAAATATCTGTGCAATGGTAGTTGCTTTTTAATTTCCATGTTCCTGTCAACCACTATTCCTCTATTTTGCTATTTTTTTGATAGCTGAAGTAATTGGGTGTGAACATCTTTGATGGTGAAGAACAATGAAATACCAGGAAGTCTTATAGAGCAAAATCCTTTTTCTCCATCATACCAATACTCTATATTATATTTAACAGTGCAGAATCAGTGCAAATTATATTACTATCCAAATGGATGTTGTTTTCTAAGCAGGTTATATATGCCAAAACTTAAAAACAGTCTGTTAAGATTCCAAGGAGAAAAGAAAGGAAAACAGGAAAAATAGAAGCCAAAAATATATGGGCCGCCATTCTGAAAAGAAGTTCAGCAGATGGTCAAGGAAAGATTTGTACAGAATAGGACACAACAGAAGGAGATGAGCATATCTGAAATTCTTGTTCCAATTGCAAGTCTGAACCACTTGAAAATCAAATTGCATTTATTCTACAGTTAATTTTTAATTACAGTCTAAAAATTTTTTAATAAGGTCTTTGAATACACATTTGTTTTAAGGAAAACATGTTTTCCTTCTCTTATCAGTCTCTCAGGAAATATTCAATTTCTCTTTAAGCCTAGCAGTAGGAAAGATAGAAGGAGAATATACACACAAAAAATATGAGTCAAGAGAAGAAAGAAAATTCCATCTCCCGCAATTGTATTTTGCCCATTTATCTTGCACTGTAAACTGTGAACTATGTGAGAATATGCCATGAACTGGAAAAGGGAAAAACAATAGAGTCCTGATTAATCTAGTTCATCCAAAGTTCTCTTCTTGATCTTATGGCATTTCAGAAGACAGTGTTCATTAGTTACCAAAGGTAAAAAATGTCATTGTATCCTCAATGCCAAAAAAGAAGTGAAGAGGTCCTCTACTAGAATACCAAAACGACTACAAAATCTTTGCACAAAGGCCACAGAGGGTAGGGCTAGCTTAGGGTCCTCTCTCCAGGATTTCTTTTATGACTTTCAAACAAATCTTGCTTTTCAAACTCATATGTCCTAATGCTAAACCTGAGAATGTAAAAATTCGCATCTGAACTCTGAAGTACTCAAAAGTGCAGCATTAGATATAGGCATTCATGAACAGTGAAAAAGTTTATCTACAGTCACCATTCCACAACCTAGTGGATCCTACACTCCAATTAGGTAGATTCATATTGTCTAGAAAAAG